ACCTAGACTATGGCTACATAGCATTTTTTGCCAGCAACGCGATACAGCTTTTCTCATTATCGATATGTCAAACAAAATTGAGCAAAAATAATTTTTTGTTCTTTACCGACTGTGACCTCAGAATTACATATTTATCTGTTTTCAGTTTGCACTGGCTCGACGTGAACTTAGTGGATTTCAGTCTCTTTGATTTATAGCATTAATTAGCCTCTCTAGGGTTTCCACCTGAAAATGGAAAGCTCGTTAGATGAGTGTGACTGGCAGCCAGTAACTTATCTCCATACTGGCGGTTACTGGTTTGCCAAGCTCGACGTAGAACATGAAGTCGTGAAGGTGATGTTCACTGACCTGAAACAGCTGTGGTTGGAAACGGTGGAGCTGGATGCTTTCTGCGAGCGATTAAAAGTAATTTGTTTTCTATTTATGAAATTTATTTTGGTCGTTTTTAATATTTTTAGCTTTTGAATTGTTTCCTTTTAGTCCTTTTATTTGTTTTCTTCTTTTATTCTTTCCCACTCTTCTGTATCAATGTGTTTGTCAGTATCGTAATTTAACTCATTGTTTGACGTTCGACTGTAACTCCATTGCACACTCAGTTTCGGTAATAAGATTACACACGTATAGACATCTTTTTACTCAACACTGGCCTTTGAACGGGCATGATCAGTGGTTATCTGCAAAGAACCTGTCAGGTTCTTGAGACAGTAGTTTCCTTGCTAACTAGCTTCCAGATTGGCGAACGTTTTTTTGGTCGTACCGTTATCGTACAAGCGGCGACAGAATATACCATGTGACGAAGTGCGCTGAAGGTTCCTTGTGGGAAACAGCTCTGGCACCTCGACCCGCCTTTCTGGTTGACATTATCAGCCAGATGATTCTGAAGAGTTTTTGGGGCCTCGGGCTTGCACCGTGCTTTATATTCAGAAAAGTGTTTCACCAAACTCAGGCTATTGCAATTTCGTTTTTTATTCATTTGTGTTACCAGCCCCTGACTAACCATCACTCAATTTTTTACTCACCGTAAGTGCCTGCGAATATTGCTTTTTCTACATTAGTTTCTTCAAATGGAAATACAACTTTTAAAAATGATTTATCAGTTATCACATGAGCCTTGAGTTTCTTGAATGATGGTTTAAGATCAGTTGGGATAAAAATGTGCACAGAATAAAGAACTTTTATGGTTCATGGTCGCGTTTCCTCACTAATAACTGTCCTATTTGCTGTTAAGGCTGTTCAGTAGGAAAAGCATACGATCTCTGATCTGTCATTTGACAAGCATTTAATCTGATTTCACTCGCCATTGAACTCGCAAGTCAGTTGCTAACTACGCCCCACCTTTGTCCTTTATCGAAAATCACGGAATATTCCGTTCTTTGCGATCCTTTCTTTATGTCCAAGAATGAAAAATACCTCTTTATTTAAGACTATCCACGTTCACATTGTCCGTATTAACTATGTAAAAAACGACATCGCTAAATGAGGGTTCTTCTGGTATAAGAAATGAAAATTGGAAGTTTGAATCCTTTGAAATGTCGGTCTTCGTTACTGTTTCACGACGAGGCTATTTTGACTTCCTTCGTTTCATGAAGTTAATGATGGATCTTCCATTACCACTGAAGCCAGGGGTATTTTATTTTGAAAATACAGTCAAGCAGCTATGGCAGGCAAGGTGTTTAGTCGATTGTTCCGTCCCACAGTATGGTACTCATTCGTCAACCTCGGAAGGAAGGAAGACGAGTGATTCGACCGTGGCTTGAAGCCGGGATACCTCGGTCCTGAGTGTGACGCTCTACCGACTGAACAACTCCGATCTGTTCTTAAATGCTATGCGATGCCGGTGTTCTTCGTGGCATACAGGTGCCAAACGCTTATGTGAACATTCAGGTGCATATTGTTTCATCTATGTACATAGGATCGCAGTTCTTACGTTTAATTCGATTCTACCTTAAGGTCGTACGACTAATCAGGATTACGTTTCTTATATACTACGATTCCAGCTGTGTTCCTTGACCGAAAGGCAGTTCATTATTTCTTCGTCCTTCCTGAAATTTTAGAGTCAAAGAGAATACACCTAACTGTTCCGTTGCCGGTCCAAAATCCGAGAAGATAGTTAGTAACCACGTTCTAGTTTCCCGTGAAACTTAGCCACTTCATCCTCTCATCGTTTTGACGCTCTTGAGCATTATACTGGTTTGGCTCACGCATCTAAGTATGGTCCGGAGTTCGAGACATATCCGAGAGAGTCTTGATGTGCCGCCGCCTGGTTCTGAAGATTGAGAAGTCACAATAGCGATGGTTTGGGCACGTGTTGAGAATGCTTCGAAGAAAGAAAGCGAAACGGCTATTATTCGCTTGACCAACCGACCCAGGACCCAAAAAGCGGCCAAGAATATTTTGGTGAAAGTGTCTTGACGAACTCTCTTCCAAACTTGGGTCTTCGTTCGCCGAAGCTCAGACACTGGCACAGGATCGGAAACGTTTCAGACACTATCTGGCCATGCTGCCTCCGCTAACCAAAAGTATATACCGCCATCGAAACTGACCGACTGAAGAGTGCCCTTTATTCAATTATCAATGGGTAGTTTGGGTAATTTAAAACTGGGTCGGAGCAGGTGATGTTGCTGAAATTAATGAAATATGAACTGTTACTGAGCGTGGTATGAATTGACTATTTTTCGTGCTCAGAGATTTTAGGATGTTAAAGCGATTCACGGGAAAAGAATGGACTTAATTCAACTCAGAATGAATTCTTGCTTGATTTTGCATCTTATTAATTATTTTAATTTTTGTCCCAACTATTGCAGTTCATGTTGTCGTTCGTTCTCACTCTAATCAATCAATCCATTCAAAGCTGGTCGAGTCAATTAAATCCATTACATTGTTTTAAACGAGTAAGCTTGTATCCAGAATTTTTAATTATTTCAAATTACTTTAAGGAGTCAAACAGCAATTTGGAGGGTGACGCTGAACCGCTGGTGCAGCTGTGCAAATCAATGCTGCAGCAGAAGACCGACTGCGCGGTTGACGTTGAAACATTCGAGGATTCGTCGCTGATCGCCAAATTTCACGGAAAGTTCGCTGACGTTCCTTTCCGCTGGTCAACGCATGTCGCCGTTGCCAACTCGGCCTTAGTAATCATTTCATTCGAGGCACATGTATTTTTTTAATGAATTTTCGCCGTCGTTTGAAATCGACTTCGAGACGAGATCTGCGTCGGAGCTAATTAAGATTGTAAAATGAAAAGTAATGTTTTCGGTTGCTTTTGGTTTCAAATGTTTGCTGCTTCAGACGACTGCAAATTTATATCACTTCAGTAACGTTGTGCATTCATCCCGTAATGCTTTTGATATATTGCTGTTTTATATCACCTATTGCTTTAAGTAGTAACTTTAGTTTTATGCGGAAATCGTCGAACCTCTTCTGCTAAGCGTGCTGCAGTACGACCGTCGTGAGAAAAAGCTGTTTGAAGTTCTTGAGCAGAAGGATATGATGTTGAAAGATGCGCTGAAGATCTCGTCACCTGTAACAGGTACATTTGATTATCTGATGACTATGTATAACCGTTGTTTTCTGCATACAGCAGATTCATCTGTATTTTCAAGCGAACGATGGACACAGAAGGATTTAGAATCTGCGGTACTACTTTGAATGAATTGTTTTGTTTTTATTTTTGCCATAAACCTACTAATCTATAGTAGATACTGAATCTAAGAGTTTGATTCTTTTATTGTATTGAACTTGAATTCTAAAGCTATTTTGTTCTGTATCGATAATCTCGTCTTTTTATTCTTATTTTATTTTTTGGTCGTCATCGTATTCCTTTTTTCTCCTACTTCTACACTTTTTAATTCATCTTCTGCTTTATGGTGTTCTTTCTCTACTTTGTTTTCTTTTGCTTCTAGCTTATTTTTCTTTCCTTATGCTTTTATTGTTTTTTCAACATACCACACGTTTCTTATCCATCAGTTTACTTGACTCGTGCAGAAGCTTACATTCATTTGGCTATATTGATCGTCATTGCAATACATGTTTAGGTTATATTCTCTTTCTCTCAATGTCATATTACCTCTAGCAACAAGAGTTTTCAAAAATTTGTTAGAAAGCATTCAGCTGGCCAGTCTGAAGGAATTGCGTTCGTTTCGATTAATTCGATCCAAGTATACGTTGAATAACTCACCGTAATCTGTGAGAGGACGGTCTGGCACCATGTCTTTCCAGTTCCAAGTCAAGGCTGCTAATCGATATAACTCCAAACTCGTAATCAAAAGATTGCGGGTTCAGATCCCAACCAGATTATTCAGCTTTCACCTTCTGAAGTAAACGAGACCAGTACTTAGTACAGATGCAAAACACCATTCGTTCTGTTGTTTGCCTAGCCCTACTTGTGGCCTTCATGAATAAAAGATTCTTGGCGTATAGAATCGAAATATGAATCAGGGCCATACATAGATAGGTGATACTTGAAATTGGTCCTATCCCTGAAGTGTCAGGGCGATCAAAATTCCTATGGTTGCTAACTTTCCTTTTCATTCTTTTTGCCCGTGTGTTACCACTGTAAAAGTCATGATGGATGCGGCTCGCCGCACTTTCCCCAGAGAGTAGTGTGGATGTTGTTCCCAGTTCCTTTTGTTCAGATTTCTGTTGTTCCAATTGTAACACATTAGAGACTGATGGAACCGAGCTTGCTGACATATTCAGTGACCAGAGTTAAGAGTTTCTCCCATCTTTTTGCTCTGCCGGTGAACACGTTATAAGAAGGCCTGACTCCTAAAACATCACTTGTAATACATAAGTGTTCTGACGAATAAGAGCGATTACAGATGTGTGGATTCACTCTGGGTACTATATTACTGTAGAGCTATATCACTTAAAATGATTTGGATCTAGCATAATTAAACGGCTTCCTTCATCTCTAGAAACAACGGATATACAGTGGAATGATGCTTATATGACAGTCATCTATTGTAGCTAAGGTTAATTGCCTTCATGTCGAATGGGCTCCATAGTCGGTTCAATACACAAACAGCATTTACGCAGCTCGACCCCTTATATGTGTTATTTTTCTGACCAATTGCAGATAGTCGAGTTCTTAAGGCAAAGTATGTATATTTTATGCCTCTTTTGGTTTCGAACCCGTACCTCTAAGATTCGAAGCCGAACTACCTACCTCCGTAACTACTTTCCTGTTATAATTTATTGGCTAAATATTTCCTGATATATGGTTTGTTTTGCTGATTTTGTTTCGCTACCTCATAGGAACCATCTGCGCTTTATCTTACTTTGGTATATCAATCGTTAAACTCGGCTTACAAAGAAAAATTTATTTGCTTTGCGCTTGTAAAATATATTTCACTATTTAATTGACATGCTGTATTGATGTCAATAAATGTGATTTTACTCGAACTTGTTTGCTTCATAAAGGTGAGTTTTGTATTGCAGGATTTCAGTAGCCTTGAAGACGACTTCTTCGAAGGCAAGGCTAAACTCTTCGACCCTTTGCTGTTCCGACTCATGATTTCGAGAGCGAAGTTAAAATCGTCCCAGCTTTTAGGTATAGTGGCTTCTTTTCATCTACGTGAAAATGCAATTCATTGATTTTAGGAAAAATGAAGACTGAACCTTCTTCTGTAGAATTCGACGTTAAGCCTAATCAAACACCAGTGAGTGAAAAACTTCAAAATCTTAAAATTTACTTGGCTTGCTCGAGTGCTGTCACTCCACGTGGATCTGACAATGCTGATTCCGACGATACTCGGACTTCGCCTTCGAAAAAGATTAAAAAGCGATTACGTTTATGATTATACGAAGTGCCGTCGTAAGGTACTCATCTTATCATGGTGATCTTAACGTTTGGTCGGCAACGCGTTTATGATAACTGTGGTGCCATTGTTGCCTTAATGTACATTTCTGGGGAACTGTATGATGAAGATTAATTTAAAAAATAAACTCTAAAATATTTTTCACTTATTTCAGATTTTATTGTTAATTCCTTTAGATTCTCCACAATTTGATTATGAATGGATTTGGGTGTGACACAAAATTCTCCTTTCTCGATTATTTTGACATTTCAGCTTTTGCCACAGACGACTTCAGTGATTCATATTTACATTGATACAACGAACTTCGTTCATCTTGACATCTATTTGAGGTCGTTCTGGGCATGTTACTATCTCGTGGAACCATCTCTGATGTTTCTTTGGTCCAGCGATGATCAGCGCTTCTTGAAACGTTTCCTGCCCATTGCTTCTTCAGCGTCTTTACTCATGCAAGGGCATCGCAGACTCTGTATTTTGTACTCTTACCCATTCATTCGTTTTCCTTTCTCCTTTTTATTCCCAGTATACATCTTTTCATGCTCTGTTGCCTCGTCCAAAGTTTATGAATGGTTTTCAGGCTTACGGTTCACTTTTCGCATCCATAGATTAGTGCTAAGAGCATCGCGTTTGATCACATAGACTTGTCGGTAATCGCAAGGAATGCAGTACACCAGCTATCCAGCTATTCGTCGCGGTTTCGAACCTTCATCTTCTGAACGCGACCTTTCCAGCTCCTGATATATTCTTGTTACCGAAAGCTGTCTTCCGCCTGCCAGTCGACGATCAAAGCCAGCCATCTCCCGTGACTTAGCCGATCTACGTGTCCGTCCAACCGTAGTTTCTTCTATCTAATTTCGACAACAAAGTCCTTCACTCCCGTCCTCTGTCTCATCACAGTGGTTGGGATTTTAGTCGCGACGTGAATTTTCAACATTCTCCTTGGTTCTTTCGACCACTCTGCAGAGAGCTTGCGCCCTTCGGCTGTCGTGAGTGACAACGTCTCACAGTTATGCAACTCACGTTACCGGCAGAACGCTAGATGTGAAGAAATAGCGCCGGTTTCCTTCCTGATTTTACCGAGGAGGACGTCCTTGAAGCATTGAAGTGGGTGCCAAGCTACCCTCTCTATTTGTTGAATCTCCAAAATGATGATGGCGTAAAATAAACCAGTTTATCATCATCGATTTTTTAATAAATTACCATGTAATGTTACCTGGGCTTTCCGCAGAGTGATTCAAGTATCTTCATCTTCGACGATTGATTCGCAGTGCGACTTCTGCACCGTTTCTCTCAATTATTTTTAGCACATCTTGTAGCTGATTGACGTTTTCCGCAAGCAGCAGCACGCCATCAGCGAAGTTTAGGTAGTTGAGAAGTTTATCAATGATGTTAACTAATTGATGATTAGGGATATTTCGCAATATAGTGATACGGTAGAAGGTTTTACAGTAAAGTACTTAAGAATCAGAAAACATCCATTGCGCAAAAGGAACTTTAAAAGGATTCAAGAACGGGAGTAGTGTCAAACATTGCAAGGCTGAAACTAGAGAAGCTGAGAATAAAAAATAAAACTGATACGCGGTTCACTTTGTGAATTTCTAAGGAGAAAGATGCTGGTGGACCTGCTGTAATTGTTACACATCCTTTTCTTGTTCAGCGAAATATGCAGGGATTCGTTAATAAGCGGGCTGAGTCTGACCTTTTCGAAATTGTTTGTCTTAGCGAC